TGGTCATAAAATTCATCTGTATTCTGTGCAGAGAAGCACAGTACTGTCTTTGTATTATATGCACACTGGTGTGTGTGTGTGTGTTTCTGCACATGCTCTGCACAACTCTAGGTCATATGCCTGAAAGAAATAGAGAATGCTTAGAATGGAGCAGTCACAAACACTGCAGAACTGCCTCTCATAGAAGGATGTGTTGCAGATATTTTTTCTTTTCTATAGCAGGCCTGTCAAACTGGTGGCCCACAGGCCGGATTTATCACACGTAGGCCACGGCCACCCTGGCTCCACAAAGGAAAAAAACTGTTGCAATATACACCATAATATGTCACATGACATGATCGCTTTTGACACCTGTGCTCTATAGCCTCAAGGCAGGACTGTTTTGAAACTCAGTCTTTTACTTGCCAGCTTAGCTTGCCATACCAAACTCACTTCATGCTGTTCAACCAGCCTACCTTCCACAGAACCTGTATATTGCTGGGGGCAAAAGGAGGACTGAGAAGGTATCTGCACACCCCCTCACATCCTGGATATAAACTTCAATCCAGACCCCTGACATCCCGGATATAAACTCCTGCCTCTTGAGATGGCACTGTAAGGCACTGCAAAAATAACTAGATACAAGGATAGTTTTTTCCCTTCAGACCATCACTCTGCTAAAAACCTAATTCTCACAGCGCTGCAGATTGTGTATTTACCCATGTAGTATGGCTATAGTATTAATCCTTCTTTACTCGCCCCTCTTATTGGTATTATTATAAAGATGGTTATCATTGTACTGTTGCTTTGCATGTACACTGAGAACTTCTGCACCAGAGACAAACGTTGTCACACAATCACATTGGCCAAATAAAGTATTCAATTCAATTGAATTTTTGGAAATTTGTCCTGATGGATAGGTAGTGTTCTGAGCTTCTTTACATCATTTATTAAAATTAGAATACTAAAAAACATGGAACAACACTTTGTAAGCTGAAAAATATTAAATTAATAATATCCTGCTGCGTTCTGAATTTTTTTCCACAACTGCAACCCAAAAACATGCATAGTTAGTCAAGTTTATTAAAGGAAACATTATTTTTAGCTATTGTTTTTCCTACTGGGTTATGCATGGAAATCTGAAAAGCAATTTTGCTATATACAGTAAAAGCAACAAACTTAGCTTTCATTAGGACATTCACAAACAAGAATAGCATTCTCTGATTGCCCGAAGGCAGATCACAATTTTCTCTCAATCAGGAAGTGTTGTGGCTCTGATTCCCGAGCCTGTGTTGTTAGAGGAAAAGGACTTGGAAGATGAGGAGGAGGAACTGGGAATGCCTTCCTCCCCAGGACCTTCCTCTCTGGCAATGCCTTCCTCCCTGATAATGCCTCAGGTTTCATCAGACAACCGAGAGGAACAGCCTGAGATTAATCAGGAGGAAGGCATATCAGAGCAGCCCCTGACAGGGAGTCAAGAGGAAGAATGTTGGCTTGATCCTAAGCAGCATCGTAGGAAGAAACGTGAGCAGCAACGTAGGAGGCGTGGGAGGGTCAGAGAGCGAGCTGAGTCATTGAGCCACACCCCAAAGGGGATAAAAGTGGGTGTGTTGTCGGCTGGAACTTTGTACGGGACAAAGTTTGATCTTACTTCAGGTTTTTCTTTGTGAATGATTTTTGTGGTCTGCCTTGTAATTTTCTATAAGTAGCTTTTTACTTGTTATCAGTTCGGACTTGGCCGGCAGAGCGTGTTGGAATGCCAAGGACGTTATGAGTTCCAAAGAATTAACTCTGTGAAGTCCAAGCCAGCTTGCCTGCCTGTGTTTGTGTGAATTTGTACTCTTTCATCTTTTGAGAAAGAAGAAAGGTGAGACAGAACAAGGAAGCATGGTAGAAATCTGATAAGATAATGTTTTTTTCATGTAACACTACGTTATCTAAGGTCAGCTTACACAAACACAAAACTTCTAATATATTGCAATTGAAACTAGGAAAATCACATTAAACTTTTGAACTGTTTCAGGCTAGTTGCCCAGGAAAAGTTATTAAACAAATGTTGCATTGTAGCTCCAGTCTCAATTTGGAGACCATCTATTTTCATGATCTTCCCATGTGTTTGGTAAGATGCTTTTCTGAGCAGTTTTCACTGAGAAAAAATATAAAGGAAAATGTTATGCTACTGATCTCATTAAACTTTTCTCTAAGCTTTGTATGGTACCATGATGACTAGAAAAGTGAAAAACTGGAAAAGTTTTAAGAGGCATAGCCTCAGTCCAATATTTCTCCAATGCCACAGAGTTCGCAATGCATTTTAAACAGAAGTGCTTTGAGCTAACTAGCTAGCAGTTGTTCAAGCGTGTAGCAATTTAACCAAGCACACACTGCTGAGAAGGCAATGATAAATAAAACATAATTGATGGTGGTGTTATTTCTGGATCCTAGAAAATTGCAATATCTATTCACTGGCATCCAAATAAAGTTTTACTGAAGCTCAATACTATGTAACTGATATTAGTCATTTTCCTACTAGTGACTTTTAGAGTCATCCTGCCATTGGTGTTTCAAAATAACAGTAATGGGGAGTGGCTTTATATTATTTCAAGAATGACTGGATGATACTGTGAAGACATTTTTGTCATTGATGGAAAAATGGTCATTATTTCCCAGTTTCTAGCTGTGAAAGTCCTTGAATGACAAATTAACCCTAATAATGGCAATTCTCTCCTCTCCTGGTGCTTTTTTAAAAAATGTGTTTCTTCCCCTAATCATCTTTAAAAACCAAGAGTGGCAATTTGATCTGAAGAACAAAAGTATAATGACGAGAAGTGTGTCAAATCCTCCTTGGATTTATCGCTCACAATTTTCTCCTGAAGTTCTTTTTCCACAGCTAATTTTACCTGCAATATTAAAAGTGAATTGCAGTTCATGTACAGTATTCTTGACCTCCAAGACTATAAGCAGGATATTTTTATTGAGTTTTTGTTTTGTTTTGTTCTTCAGTAAGAATCCTGAGCTTTTAAGTTCTTACAATCTTTGGAACGTGGAAATGACTTGTCACAATATCTCTCCAGCTTTGCTAAGTGGCAGAATATTCACAGAGAATAATACATATCAGATAAAGGCATGCTGCATTATTGTATTAGGCACTATCTGAAACAATACTAAAAAAGGTAATTTTTGAGTCTAGTTTTATGACCAAGTTGCTAAAATGCAGGGAACATTCAATTCTTGCTATCAAGAGCCAAGGGCCAATCATTTTGAAGTGAGTTGAATGTCATATGACATTTTTTTGTTTCATTTACAAATGGTTTTGTTTTGCAGACTAGAAATATCTGCAAAGATTATCTTGGACAAGTAGACATATAAATGGGGTTCAATTTTATCATCCTCAAAGAGATTCTGTTGTCCGACTACAATCCCATGAATATAGAGGGGAGAATGGTAGAATGGCACCTTGTAGAATTTCTAAATTCTGATCACAACCTTGTCCAGTATCCAAGAGCATTGATGGAGGAAGGGGGGAAGGAATTAAATTTCTGTTATGACATCACAATGCAAAGTCTGCCTCTTACATATTTATATACAACACTGTGTGTCATAAATAGGAAAGGGGAAAGCTTGCATTAGGAGTCACAATGCACATTTTGTCATTTTGATGTTATCATGGTAATGAATAGATAAGTTCAAAGTGCTGTTCATTCCAGTATGGTGTTGATTGATATATTAATGCATTAAAAATGAGAAATAATAAGCACAGGTATGTTACATAAGAGAATGTTAAAGCTATTTGTTTCTCCAAGATAACATTTCTCTGGTGCAGTCAAGAGAGACCTGTCAGTTGGATTTTTTTAGTTTCAGCTATTATATTGTTAAATCTGGGAAGAATGATTTGTTCAGAACAATAGTATATTGTCATGGAGTTTTAAATCCCTCTAGACAAAAAGTATTATTTGCCTCTTCCCATAAATGAACCTCAATCTGTGCTTTAAACCAATGTATGATGAGAAAGGCACAAAAACAGCTGCTAAGTTTTACACAATATTAATTTTGAAAGGTGATGGGAGGGGAAGAGATAGAAATGACACAACTAAGCATTTATGAAGCTGACCAGCTGTGAAAACAAGAAGGAACATGCTGTGTCAAAATGGTATTCCTTCACAATAGAAGAAAAATTCAATACTTATCCCTCACTCACTCCTTTTGTATTTGTGAAAGTGTTGTTTGCATTTTTTAAAAAAAAAGCAGAACTGGCTCACTGCAGTTAGTGCCAACTTGAGAAGAGACCCTGCTGCATTAAGTGTAATATTAAAGATGCACTGTTGCAATGATTCAACTCATTAAAAGAGGGATATTGCCTGGAAGCCTAGAAAAAAAGATGCAGCTGCTTTAATAATCAGCAGACAGCTGCTTTACTTATGTGAGTCCTCATTAAAATAAGGCCTAAGGCCTTGAATGCATTGAAGAGGTTCTTTTATAGGTTAAACCAACAATTCCTCATACTCATTCCTGTGAGAGGGATGGCTAATTATCCACATTAAAAAATTGAATCTGTTTTTTTTGGGGGGGGAGGGGTAGCAGTGAAGCAATCAGGTGGATTCAGAGATTGGCTACAGGTTTCTCTATCTAGAGCAATCTTCCCTTTTCTCTTTTCTGACAGGATATAAAAAGAGATGTGGTTTAAGGTGGGAAATATATGTCCCATTCCCATTTGGTCAGATGCTTCTTCTACCTGCAAAGGTGATCCTCTTTGCTCCCTGCAAGGGGGTTAGGAGAAGGATTCTCTTCTGCAGAGGAGAAGGATAAAGGTGAACCTCAGAGGTGGTATTCAGCAAGTTCTGACCAGTTCTGGAGAACCAGTAGCAGAAATTTTGAGTAGTTCAGAGAACCGGCAAATACCACCTCTGACTGGAGATTTTACAGTATCCTTCCCCTGCCACGCCCACCAAGCCATGCCCACAGAACCGGTAGTAAAAAAAATTGAATCCCACCACTGGTGAACCTCCCTTCCTCTATTCCTCCTCCTATGAGGTTTTTCCAGTCAGGGGCAGCACAATGAGATTTCTGTCTCTTCCTCTTTCTCCTGGCGTAACGGTGGAGTCAAAGGCAGAGGGTCGCAACTCATAGCTTTCTCTGAGGCACTCGTGGTTTACTAGGTCTTTGGGAGAGGATATTACCTGTCAGCTTGTCGAGTGTTTCAAATACTTCTGTTTCTTTAGTGAAGGATAATCGATTAAGGCACCTGACAGCATTACCAACACCCATCTTCTGTGGTACCTGGGCCATCCAGCTCCCTTAAGGAAGAGTAGTGAATCTTCTGACAGTTACGAGAGGCACTAGGCTTGTGTTAATGTGTCCTGGTGGGCAGGGGTAGGGGCGGTGCAGATTGCTAGAAATCAAAACCTGTTGGAATGATCCTCCAAGGTATCCCCTGACAGTGAATGGCTGGCCATTTTAACAAGGAAATTAAATAGGAAGCAAAAAAAATGAAGTACCACAAGGTCAAGATCTGTGGATGAGTTAGTCAGTTTTGGCATTGTTGATAGATGGTCATGCTTTATGGAAGGACCAGCATGGGGAAAGGAACTGCCCATCTCTCCCAGGAATTGATGCCAGGTTCTTTTTCAGTTTTGCCCCTGAAGTGAGTAGAAGGAATACTCACTTCAGAGTACCGTTAAGAGAACTTGTAGGATCACTGAAGCCAAAATAAACTCTATGCTACAAGGAGAAAGAGTTTGATCTAGAAGAATCAACTTTCCAGGGAGCAATCAAAGTTTACTTACCTATTCTAGTGGGAAAGATGTTTTCATTATTAATTAGTGTCTCAATCCAGTCCATTAGCATGCACATGTAATGAGGTGCTGAAAGCTTGGTAGGCCTCTTGAATCGATAGTCATCCTGCCATCGGTATTCATACTTCAGACCACCAGACATAATGGGGCAGCTCTTTTCAGTGCAGAATTCAGATATGGTCCCGTAAATGAGATTTATCCTGTTGAAAAAGTCCACGAGGTGCACTGCAATCCAATCATTGATGTTCTCCCCTGGGGGCAACTGGACCACTGTCTTTAAGTCTAGTCCTGATTTGAGGGAAGCCTGGGCTTTCTTGTACAGCTCAAACCGCTGTGTCCCCGGCTCAAATTTCTTACGAGGACGAAATGTTTTGTCTTTGTTAAAAACTTGCTTGAGGCATAGAGCCATTCTGATTTAGGATTAGCCAGGGTGGCAATTATATTTTTCAAAGGAAAAAAACTTTCAAGTAGAAAAAAATAATATAGTTTTTGAAAAATAAATTATAGAGTTTTAACAGGCAGTTCTTCAATCGTTTTAAAAGTTCCTTTTATTCGCTTAACTGTCCAGCAGAGGGAACAAACATCAGCAACATTTAAAGTGAAGTGTAGTATCCATGTATATATTTAACAGGGAGCTGAACTTTTTTTCTTTCCTGGTTCTCATCAATGTGGAGAAAGTGGTAGGCAGCAATGGTCTAACCTGAAATGAAACCCAAAAAAATAAGTAAGAAGGAAGGATGCAACTTGTGAAAAGCAATGGACATGTATATAAGAAAGTTTTTTTTAAAAAAGCACCACTGTATTAGACTACAGAACCATTTTGTCAAATATTTTGTTGCCACGGTGGCCAAGAAGGTGCCTGGAGAAGGACATCTGTATGAATAACCACCAGAAAACCTCTGTACTTATACTGAATCGAGGTTCGGGGGGGGGGGACACACCAAAGAAAGCAATGGCAAAATAAATCCATGTTGTTCCCTAGAAAACAAGCCATACGTATTCACGACTCACCAGGAGCCAAGCTTAGTCTGGAGACTGACTATATTCTTCTGTTCATGTTTCCCAGAAAACTAAGCCTACAAGCTTCTGTTACTGGAACTTAAAGAATATGAAGGGTTGCGTTGTTTCAGTGAAACCTACTTTTTCAAACACCTCCACAAAATGACTTCTGGCAAGGTAGACGGAGGCGGATGAAGATCGAGAGAGAAAGTGTTCCAGTGGAACTTTTGGCTGGATCCCATTGCTTTATTTCAGTGGAAATGTGAGCTCAGTGCAAGCATGGCACCAAGAAACACTTTGATGAAGCCCCACTTAAAACACTTCTCCTGCTCCTTTTAGTTATTTTCCACAGTCCCCAGAACTGCTCACGGAAACCAGAGTCCTTCCCCACCTCCCCATCCCCAATAGCAAAGCAATTTGTTCGTTGCATCTCATCATTACTCTAAAGATGAGGACAAAATGCAAACAGAAAACACTTGTATCTATTCAGCATTGCACAGAAGTTGTTTTGAAACAGAAGGTCAGATCAAAGTAGTACTCAAGGCATTTCTAAAAATAAGTGTACATTTCTGGTGGGAAGCAGAGAAGTTTCCTCAACAGCTGCAGTGCTTTTAACCCAAGAAGAAAACATTTTGTTGCTTTGTCATTGGTTTGACCATTCCCTGGACATCTCCTGGGAATGCAGATGTTTGGCAGTTCACATACTTTTGTGACTCAAATCACATTTACAAGCCTCTTGGGCTTCCAGCTGTAATTCAGCAATGTCCCTATGGAGAAAAGTGGTATATATTTAACTATCAGTCTTAAGGCAGAAGTGCCAAGCACTGCTCTTTCCCAAATGCCATTTTTTTTAACTTAACAGGGAGTTGAAAGAGGAAGATGTGATGCATTTTGAACAGGAAATCTACATCCAAATTGTGAGACCACTGCAAAATATCTGTCTACTTCACTTTTCAGTTTTTTTTTCCGTTAAGATCACTTATATCAATACTACAGATCAGTCTACAGACCTTTTCCCCTTTACACATGAACCTACCAGTCTCAGCAGGTGGAACATCTATACAACCTTGACTAATCCAGAAAGCTAAGCAAGATTGGCTCTGGTTAGTCTATGGATAGAGGATTGCATCTAGAAAGTCCAGGACTGTAGGTCCTGGTATGAGACTGTAAGTCCTAGTATGAGAAGTGTCAGATTTGGAATCCTTATTAAAAGCTGCAACACACCTGCGGAAGAGGGCTGCTGTTGTTTGAGTAGCTTTCAGTAGACAAAATAGATATAAAAAAATTCCAAGGTTATTCTCTATGGCACAACAAGAATTGTAGCTGAAGGGTGATTGGTTCACGTGATTTATGATGTGAAAGAAAAGGGGTGGGTATAGGTTGAGTCTTGTGGGAAGTCTGGGAGGAAAGTTTAGTTTTGGAATTCCACAGACGTGCCAAGTTTCTGTTTTAATAAAGCACTTTGAGATGATGGTTGTCTCGGAGTTACTGATTGGAATGGATAATTTTTGGAACTCTGACAGTATGCCAAAACTAAAGAACTCTGACAAGAAGATAATGACCAACCACTTCCATGTTGGGTACATCATCACTGTCCACCAAATTGTTTCTTTCATGGTATAGAATAGAAGAAGGGTCAGCTGGGCCCATGCTTTCCTTCTTTCTTCTGCAACTGTTAGGTACATAAAAGGTTGAATACGAAATAGCCAAAGTCTATTATCCATGCTAATTACGGTATTTGTAATATTGTTCCCAGTTGCATTGGAAAATTATGCCCCTCTAGATATATAGATATTGAGATTGTAGATTGTTGTTATTAAGTTCTCTGAGTTTTTGGGGGTTTTTTTTACTTCTTGCCTCTTGTTCATCTCTTTGCCTTTCTGTGTGTCTCTTTCTCTGTCTAATTGTGCCTGTCTTTTGTCCTGTTAACTGTCTTTGATCTTTGCTAACATTTGATAAATAAACATCAAGCGATATTTTTGATAGCTATACTGAGAGGCATGTGTGTTTGCTCTGATCTGAAAAAGGATACAGGAATTGTCTGGGATTGTGGTGGGCAAAACCCAGCTGGAAATTATTCATGGGTATATCCATGAAACTCACTAGGAGTCACATTCAAACTGAAAAAGACTTTCCTTTTTATATATGAAACCTATTCGCCTCCCAGTTGTTAGTTATTGCTGTGCCATTCTTCCTCCCAGGAAGCCTGATAGCTGCAATAGGATTCTTTTCTCTTACATATATTTATTTGGTTTGAAGTCTTGAAAGTGTTATATTCTTTGAAATCACCGCGGGAAAGGTCTGGCCCCAAGTGATTAGTAAGAACTGCTGCTACCACACATAGCTGATACAAAGTGATATGAATCACTAGCCGCACTGCAATATCTTCTCTAACCTGTCAAAGGACAGATGATATTATTAGCATTAGCATTTGACAGAATTGAGAATTAAAGCTGAGAACAATTGGGTCATCATACCAGGGTGGGATGCTGGGGGTTCGCATGGGTTCGGGAGATCCTCTAGCTAAGATTCTGCACAGTTCGGAGAACCTCCGAATCCCACTCCTGGCTAGCCCCACCCACTCCCCTCCCGGGAATCCCCACGCCGCCCATTTTGGATGCAGGCAAGTGCAGGGCACAGAGGCTTAGGGAGGGTGAAAAAGGAGCCTCCCGGAAGTTCAGGAAGGCTGGAAATGGGCCTGTTTCTGGCTTCCAGAGAGCCTTCAGAGCCCCGGGAGGCTGTTTTTGCCCTCCCAGAGACTCGAGGAAAGCTTCCGGTGCCCATGGAGGGCAAAAACGCCCTCCACACCGTGGTGCAGGAGGCTGACTAGGCCACGTCCACCATGGCCATGCCCACCCAGCAACCAGGCAGAGAACCTGTTGCTAAAATGTTTGAAGCCCACCCCTGCATCGTACCATTTTATCATACTAAAATTAAAATTTTGATATAACTTTTATTTTTATATATTACCTAACAAGTGGTTTTATTAGTATGATTGTAATTTATTTGATTGTTTTGTAAGTTGCCCAGAGTCATTGAGCGTCAGATGGCATACAACTTTAATAAGTTATTAATTTTATTCAACTGAGTTCCAATACAGGCGGACTTCAACATGACCACAACTGTGCCCAACATTTCTGCTGCTAAGCAAGACAGTTGGGTGAGTTTTGCCCTGTTTCACAACCTTTCTTGCTGCAGTTGTTAAGTGAATCACTGCAGTTCTTAAGTTAGTAAACCCTGTTATTAAGTAAATCTGGTTTCTCTGTTGACTTTGCTTGTCAAAAGAGCATAAAAGGTGATTGAATGACCCCGAGACACTGCAATTGTCATAAATATGAGTCAGTTGCTAAGTGCCTGAATTTTTATCATGGAGTACCATGGAGATGCTGCAACAGTTGTACGTGAAAGAGGTCATAAGTTCCTTTTTTCAGTATATAATTTGAACAGTCTTTTTAAAATTACAACTTTTTTCAATGTTGTAATTGGAATGGTCACAAAACAAATAGTCCTGAACTGAGGACTATGTGTATGGTTTCAGGAGATGGAAGATTAGACAGACAGACAAATGTAGAGAAATTATCCTGAATCTATATTACAATTCAGTTTACCACATCGTACAGCAATTACATTACTCATTACTGCATCTCACTCAATTTGGTTATCAACAAGAGGAAGCAAGGGGAGTCATGAGGAAGTGGTAGTTTTCAGACACTGCTGAATCTGACATTTCTGCATGTTAGAGCAAAGTTTTATTATTTGGTTATTTCCTGTTAGAGAGGTTGCTCCATTATTATATCCTGTATTTAAATAGAATTCCGGGGGCTGGGGAGATTGTTTCTGAACATTTAGACTACAAGCTGTGCATAAAACTAGTAGGAAATACTTCCACTGTGAGTGGGACTATATCAGGCAGCTTCTTTTTTAGAATAAGCCAATGATTAGTCTCTGAAAGGATCTTCAACACAGATTGAAATAACAGAAGTTTGATAAACATCCATTAAATCAGCATTTTAAATGAAAACACTGTAATGAAGTAAATTAAAATGAATCAAAGATAGAGAGGAAAACACCTACTGGCAGAAATTATCAGAATGATATCAAATCATGGGCACATTCCGTGGTGTCCCTGGAAACATCCCCATTGGCAATTTTTCCGGTGACAAGTTGCTTGTATGTGACAGACAGTGAGTGTACTCAACATGATTCCATGATTATCCCTTAGGCACAGAGCAAATTCAAGACAATATGCATATATAGCCATTGTGCAAGTAAGTACGGAAAGATAAAATTTCAACAACTACAGGACAGGGAGGGAGAGGGCAGGTAGCAAAGCCACAGTTCAACCTGGGGTCTCCTCCACTTCCTTCAATGGTGTCATCTGTTTGTTTATTTTAAACATAACTATTCACCAGCAAGCAGCCCAACCAACATCCCATTTACTACCCTAAATACATGCTAATTGCCAAGTGCCCAAATTCTGATCATGTGCCCATGGGGGGGGGGATGCTATGACAAGTGTGAAGAGTGGCCATAAGTGACTTTTTCCAGTGCCGTTATAACTTTCAGTGGTTAATATGTAATACTTAAAATCCTAGAAGGGGAAAAGTTAGTCTGGATTCGTGTGTACAGAGACCACGGTTCATGAGATTTTTTTTAAAATGCTTTTAATTTAGTCCTTTTTAAAAAATAACTTCTGTAGCC